CTGAGGTCCAAAGTTATGATCAATTGAATGGACAGAAGTATTTCGACGTACTTTAGTACGATTCTGAGGCTCTTCTTGATTTTGAAATAATGACTGCAAGCTCAGCAGACGTGGCAAATTTTGTCAACAAATTACCCTTCAATTTAAAATTCCTCATTATAAGTAACACTTTTAAAAATTAGGCCTAATCTGGATAATATTTATATCCCTCTGCAGCAAACTGCTCTTAGCATCGTCCGTTTCATGACATCATGCACCGCTTCAGCGTTGCTCGGAATTTCAGCATCGTCCACGTTTCGCCCGGCCGATTCACAACGGCTGACATCTGGCTAAATTTTTTGAAGTGCGAACTCGTGTACCTCCAACTACGCATCGAATCTTTGTATAAAACATTACAATAGCCCTAGATAGGAAAAGCCATCGTATTCAACTTTGAAGAACCACTTGAAATTCCTTAGATAACTACTTTAGTTGTGACTTTTGCCATAGCTAGACCTGGATAGGTGTTTCCTTACTCATACAAAATGCGTACCTGTTTCATGTAATCAAGGCCTATTATTACCTGAAACATCAAAATCTACAGCCCAGTACTAAGCCGCGTTACGGAGCAAACTTGCATCATGATCAAACTGTAGATATAGAGGATCATGGTTTGTTCGTAATTAATCACTACCTTTTAGAAGGACTTGACTGTTTGCTTGGGACCTTTGTATAAACCTCGAAAGTTGATTACCAATGTATAGATAGCCAAGTCATCTAGAAACCTTCCATCTGGTAAAAAATTTCTTTGTCGTGAAAGAGCATCTCTCTATTCTTTTTGCTCGCCATAACTCCTATGCGAAGCCTTCGCGCGCTAAAATTTTACTATAAAAGCCAAGATCACTCGAGTGTGCCCTTAGGAAGGGCTGCAAAATAAAAATTTTGATTAAAATCTTGGCCAAAACAGATTGATTTTCGTATTTGTTCGCTAAATTAAACTTCTAGGAAAATAAACTTTTGTCATCAAGATAGATTCCATTTGTTTGAAAGTAGATTGATTGACGTGCAAGTTTTTGAGACCTTGATTTCAGAAGCTCACTAAGAGCATAACTATAGAACAGCTGGAAGCCACGCGTCTCCATCAAATCGCAGCAGAAACATTTATTTGGAGACCTGCAGATATCTGTGAATTTGAATTTTGCTAACAAAAGTCTACAATTCTGTTTTGTGAAGCTATTTCCGCGACAAGTGTTGCGAGCCGGTAAAGCTCGAAATTCTCTTCAGTTTTTTTCTCCATTCGGCCAGAAAGCTTTATTTAGCGAAGAGGAAAGATTGCTTGCTGCAAGATTGGTAGGATTGTTCTTTCTTTTTTTTAGCATTGCCGACAGTACAGTCAATACTTTTATATTTCAAATATTATTCAGCTGTGTTTAGTTTTGATTAGCGGCGAAGTAATTGAAAATGGTGAACTAATTTTTGCTACGGTATACTTAGCAATAAATGCGTTTGCGTTTCTAGACGTCTATGTTTCCGTTGGTGGAATAGTATTAACATTTTGATAAGGTTAAAATTCGTTTGGCACTTCTGTTTCCATATCAGGAACGCTGGTGTTGGTTTGTAACACAGTTGGTGTGAACATTGATATAGTCTTGCCCTTATCGGTGTTTAAATCGGCTGATTGCTTACTGTGTTGTCTCATTAGAACTTAGGCTATATGTCATAATGCGTCTCAATTTGTGGTAGATGAACTGTAATTACTTGAAAAGCGATATTACGAGAACGTTAAATAAAGAGATTAAGAACGAATTAGGCAAAAGAGGGAAATGGAACAAGGAAAAAATAGCCATTATAAAATTAAAACAACATTATTTTCTGGTTATTCTTTATATACAGTGAGCATGACTAACGTTGCTAAACTCAGTGTCAATTGGTTGAGAGGCTATTGATAGAAGGTAAGATATTCTGAAGCTTATAATTAATA